AGGGAGGAAGGAGGGGAGAGTGTAACATAGCAGGCCTGAGACTCTACCCTTCGGCCTGCTGGCGAGGTTGGCTGGTCCTCGGCTGGTGTCTGTCCGTTTCCCACACTGATATCAAACTTTCCCTAAATGGCAGTGGTTTAATGTGCTTCAACTGCTTGCACAAACAACAAGGTCTATGCTGAATGCCTGAGTCTCTATGGGAGCCTAGGATTGTGGTACATGCTAGGCAAGCGGTGGCTACATGAACAGCCCCCAACAAAACTCTGGGCACCGAGGCCCAATAAGCTTCCTGGACGATACCACTGGGCACATGTCACAACTCACTGGGCGGTACTCGGCATATTCCGAGGGTCTCCACCGGGAGAGGACTCGTGGAAGCTGGCTCCTGGTTTCCTCTGGACCTCACCCCATGCGCCTTTTCCCTTCGCTGACCGGCTCTGCGTCCTTTGGGGTAATACATTTCACTCACGAGCACAACTATATACTGGGTCCTGGGGGTCCTTTCAGTGAATCACTGAGGCTGGGAGTAGTCTTGCGGATCCTGGACACGGGTGGCAGGAGAAGTTGTGGGCGCAGAAGGTAGTAAATATTGTAGAAAAAGAGAAAGGTGCGTCGATAAAATCGCCACATGAGCTCTGATCTCATTTCTATTCTGGCATCTCTGCTTGGATACATGCACAGGAAGACATCGCAAAGGATGGTGACCCCGATGTTCATGGTGTTACCTCGGGATGGTGGGATTTTAGGTGGTTTCTCCCAGTTCCCTGATACTTTCCTGTGTGGTTTGAACTTGTTTTTACAGTGAGCCATACTTTAATTAGATAATCAGAAAAAAAGATAAGGCTATTTTTTCTTGAAAAAGAAAATAAAAACTGATGGTTGGAGATTCTTGTTTAAAAATAGCATCTTTGATGCTGTCTCTCTTAACTTTCCATTAAATCCTTACAAAAATAGAGAGAAAGTGAAAACATCCCGTGGGAAGTTAGGTGGCTGATAGCCTATTCCCAGAAGCTGACAGAAATTTCCACTAATTTTATGGCTTGAGGAGTTGTTAAAAGAATACAATCAGTAGATCGTACAAGTTAGGCCCCAGAGTGGTCTTGCCTGAGGCCTGGGAGGAAGCTCCCTGCTCCTACTGCACTGCCTTCTGGTTAGGAATCGCCAGATCTGCATCCCAAGAGGACTGGAGATGCTTGCCCTCCAGGGCATCGGTGGTGGTTTCTGGGACAGCTGTCCCTTTTCTTTTAGAATCTCTTCTCTGGATAGAAATTCTAATTTCTCATCAGAAAGGAAGCAGAGGTGCTGTAGAGAGGACTTTCAAAGGAAGAATCCTCGTAGGTGTGTATAGCTGAATTATAATTTTTTTGGGGGGGTTCTTTTAATTGGTGAGAGAGAGAGAGGGAAACATCGACCAGTTGCGTTCCGCATGCATCCTGACGAGGGATCGAACCTATAACCGAACCTATAACCGTGTATGTGCCCTGACTGGGAATCCAACCCATGACCCTTTTGGTGTATGGGATGATGTTCTAACCAACTGAGCCACCCGGGCAGGGCTGGAATGACAATATTTATGCAAGGCTTGGCTGCGGGGTGGGAGGGAGAGGAGTGAGTCCTATTTATGGCTAGCAGAGCTGTAATAGACTCAAGTCTGTGGGACGCTGACAACTTGGTTTAAGAAGAGGATTCTACCAGCCACCACACGACAGAAAATTCAGGGGACGGTGACTCTTCAGTGTATTATCCATACTGGAACAGTTTCGAGAGCGAAGGGGTACTGCTAAGAGTTATAACAGACAACAGTCACAAACCAGGACTGTCCCAAGCAAACTGAGAGGTATGGTTACACTGGTTCAGGTGCACCCTAAGCTGAGTCAACCTCTTGGACAGGTATAAAGAAGAAAAAGTATCAGACCTACAAAACAACAACGAAAGCATCACTGGAAAATACTGAAGAACTGGTATATAAAAATAATGCACCAGGGCAGACAGAAAACAGAGACCCAAACCTGTCAATGTACTAGCAGTAAACTGGGAGAGAAAACAGAACTGAGTAAAAGCAATATAAAAACACACACCAATTAACAGGAGGAAACTGTTTCAGGATGCAATGGAATTTAGTATTTCACCCCGAGTTCTTCCGAATTCTAGGCAAAACAAATGAAAGCGACCAACACTTAGGAACTGGGAAGAGAAAACGTCCGTTATTTGCCCATGATAGAATCATCTGCCCAGGAAAACTAACAGAATCAGCAAATATAAGTCAAGAAAGGTTTCATCGGGATTCAGGTCCACCAATAAAAGACAATATTATTTCTCTGTGTCAACTCTGCCATGTAGAAAAATACAATAAAAAATTCACCGCAGTCACAGAAACAATAAAATATCTAGAACAGTGATGGTGAACTGATGACACGCGTGTCAGAGGTGACACGCGAACTCATTTTTTGGGTTGATTTTTCTTTGTTAAATGGCATTTAAATATATAAAATAAATATAAAAAATTTAAGTCTTTGTTTTACTATGGTTGCAAATATAAAAAAATTTCTATATGTGACACGGCACCAGAGTTAAGTTAGGGTTTTTCAAAATGCTGGCACGCCGAGCTCAAAAGGTTCGCCATCACTGATCTAGAATGAACTAGGAATTCATAAGGAGTCTCTAAGTCAAAGGTGAAAGCCTAGTCTATACCCTTAAAATGATTTATTATTGTAAAAATGTTAATCCTTTCAAATTTCAATGCAGTCCTAGGAAAAAGTATTATTGAATTTAATGAACACGATAAACACACATTAAAATGTATACTGCAGCCCTAACTGGTTTGGCTCAGTGGATAGAGTGTCGGCCTGCGGACTGAAGGGTCCCAGGTTCGATTCCGGTCAAGGGCATGTACCTTGGTTGCGGGCACATCCCCAGTAAGGGGTGTGCAGGAGGCAGCTGATCAATGTTTCTCTCTCATCGATGTTTCTAACTCTCTATACCTCTCCCTTCCTCTCTGTAAAATAAAATATATTTAAAAAAAAGAAAAAAGATTTAAAAAATGTATACTGCAGAATAAAAGTCTATATAACAGGCTAATTGGACTTTAATAAAGAA